TCTATTACATGGTGGGTATGGGGATTAGTAGTTTACAGAAGGAAAAAGGTAGTTGTGTACTGGAGTTCCACCAAGACAACAGGTATTTTCTGTACCTGAAAAATAAAAACTAATGCAGCAACCACATCTAAGGACTGGTAAGCTGCAATATATTACATTGTTGTTCTTGGGTTTAGACATCTTTTAATGATATTTTAATCTTTTTATTCATTCAAAAAAGAATTAGCCACACTTGAGCAATATTAATAAATATATTTATATTAATTGCCTTCCTGTACAACCTTGACCTCCCCATTTCCCAGTACAGTCTAACATTAGGGAGCAGTTCCGTATTTGTGCTTCTAGTGTAACAGACGGGGAACGGTAAACAAAGAGACAGTCACCAAATGGAATCTGAGGTAGACCGAACAACAGGCCAGCATATGCTATAATGAATTAGTTATTAGGTAGGAACAGGGATATATAATGAATTCATACAGTACTTAGTACCATAGTGGAAGCTGCCATATTGTGTTGCCGAACAAATAGACAAAAACATTGAGTGTCGACTAGGGAATAATAGCTGCATTGATCCTCAGTTATTTTCTTAGCTTCTTGGAAATGATTAAGTATACTGAATTTACCAAAGAAAATGTGTGCCTGGACTGTCTGCGGCATCAGACATATTGCAAAACGTAAATGTTGATGATTCATTTCATTGAACAGGGAGCATGGCCACATCCAGATGTTATTTGCTTTGTTAGGCACAAGGATAGTGTAGTCCAAAAACAATCAAAAAAATTCACTTTAGAATGTTCAGTACATTTGCAGTCTTGGCCAACGCCAGAATAAATTATCATGTAATCATGTATCTAGCAAAGTCCATTGGAACAAGTAGCCATTTTTGAGGTGAGTCATCAAATCTACGTTTTTTCTTGTCCAAATTTGCAGGCACGGGATCCACATAGGTTCTTAGATGATTAAATTTGGAAAACATCCCTTCCCACATCAGTGTCCTCTTTTCTGTCTGCCACTGTTTTTTTGCTGTTTTTGAATACTTTCTCTATATTTAGTGTTTGTGTGAAATAGCCGCACTGCATCATGGTCTTTGTTGTCCAGTACTCTCGGTAAGAAGAGAGAGGACTTTTGCGTCCTTCGAGTCTTGAAGCCTCTCCTAGGTCGTCCTTTGCCATTGATAGATAAATACCAGAGTCTTTCTGCACTGGCTTTTCGTTTTGTTCCAGCTCCATTTGGAACTGTCCTATGTAAACGGGAAGCATAGGTATTATAACCAAGTTCATGAATCCTCTCCACAAACTCACATTCAGCATTGTAGATTTCCTGGAGAAGAAAAATAACACATTTCAGTTTTCAATTCATTTTAAAACAAAAAAAAAAAACGTGTCCATTAAAAAAAAATCATGAAACTTTCAAGGCTACAGTATGTTGCAATGTTATTTCATACAAGTACAATGGATGAGCTTGTCTTTTCACTAACAGGAGAAACTTCATTACCTACATGTGTGCCACATGTATGTTTAGCAAACAAAGAAATTGGAGTGGCTTTTACAGAAGGGGTTGGTCTTTTTTGCACCAAATCATTTGCACATTCATCCATGAATCAGATTTGCGGCTGCTTCCCAGTACTGCAGTGGAGTATTGCAGAAGGACTAACATGAATAAAAATGACATGCACCACTTTGTCCATTCCTGTGTGTTGTACTGAGCCTTTGTGAATGGAACATTTAGGATAGACCTAAGGCTCCTGTGTAAATGTCATTCCTTCAAATCAAAACAGTGCTACAAAATACCATTTTAACATCCCTCTAATACACCTGTATTATGTCCTTTCATAGTCTTCAAAAGTGGTAAAGTCATCCAGCAGGTTCAAAACCTGCTCATCATATTGTGTTGTGTTTACATCACCTTTCCTTGTATTGTTCAACCAATTGTATTGTAAAAATTGAATTGATGTAAGGGGCATCAATACACACAGACAGAGCTAAGCTATTATATCTGGAGGTCTTGAATGCCACATTCCAGTAAGAGGTGGATCAAACTGCGACATTTCGTGTGGAAAATAAGGTGTTCCCTTTACTGAGCGCTAGATACATAAATAGCTAGCCTCATTTGGTGAATGATGACATTGTAGTCTTTTAATATGCCATACACACTCTAATAACTAGTACATATGATCAGATACTCAGACGACTTATCGTTTGTTTTTTGTTGCATGCTAGTCTCATATAAAAAATTAGGAGGTTGCTAAAGTTATGAAAAATTCTTGTACGGCAGAATACAACTTTAGAAGTGATGCAGCGTATTGTATTGTATTGTAATGATCAAAATATTTTCATGCTGGTTCCTTTGGATATTGTCGCATGAACTGTTGTGATTGGCTGTTGAAAGCTGTGTACTAATGATCAGATTATCGTATGATCCCTCTGAAAGCAAATTTTGGCATCTGATTTTGTGATCGTGTGTACAAGGCATTAAAGTGATTCTAAAGGCTTACATTTTTTAATAAAAAAATGAACAAACATGTCATACTTACCTGCTGTGTGCAGTGGTTTTGTACAGAGCAGCCTGGATCCTCCTCTTCTTGGGTCCCCTACCAGGCGCTCCTGGGCCCTTCCACCTGTCGGGTGCTCCCACAACAAGCAGCTTGCTATGGGGGAACCCGAGCATGCGCACTCCCCAGCCACTGCTCCATGTGTTCATTCACACATGGAGCTAAGGCTCAGCCATGCCCCCTCTCTCTTTTTATTGGCTCACTGGCTGTGATTGACAGCAGCGGGAACCAATGGCTCCTGCTGCTGTCTCAGCCAATGAGGAGAGGGAGTCCCGGGATAGCCAGTGCATATCGCTGGATCGAGAGGGGGCTTGGGTGAGTATTGGGGAGGGCCTGCTCTACAGAGAAGGTTTTCAACTTTCCTGCATAGAAAGCATGAAGGTAAAAAACCTTGAGCCTTTACAACCACTTTAAGTCGTCTTCTGAGGACAGAAAGGCTATAGAGAATTTAATGTACATCCTAAATGCATTAGAACAGGGATAAGGCACAGAAGGCTTCTTTTATCAGCTGCTCCTCTTACCTAATTTAATTAAACAGATAGGGAAGTGCAACAAACTTGGCTGTCAGTGTCAGAGTGCAATTAGTCAATGGATTTCTATTCATTTAAGGATTCCTTGTGTGTGTATGTTTTGTGGTTCGTCATTTGCTCCCTCATATAGACAACGTAAAAAACATTGGCTATTTATTGTGGCTTAACCAACATGGAATGAAAAAAGACTCTGGTTGCTTTTTCCATGAGTAACAACCTTATATTTCCTTGACTTAGGTTTTGTTATATACCATTTCAAGCTTAACAATTCCTTTATAGAATACTTTAGTGAAGGTGATTTCTGTGTTGCATCTTAATTCTGTGATATGTGATATATCTGTGATATTTCTTCACACGTGTTTGAAAATTAAACATATTTCTGGTAGATTCATAGGCATCTGTTTAAATTGATCCTAGTATATGTGCATGTGAGATAGGGACTTTGTATGTAAGCTACTCGGTGGCAGTGATTGATGTCAATGTACAGTATGTAAAACACTATGTAAATGGATGGAACTATATAAATAATTTTAATAAATAATAAATACAACTTAAAATAAATTACAACTTTGGCTATTCAAACTTACCAACATTCAGTAGATCCAAATATAAAAGTGTCTTAATTTGTATGCAGATCTTTTCTTTTTCTGAAAGTTGAACTAAGTTTTCTGTCCATTCCATATCCTAAGCTTCCTTATTAGTCAGAGAGGCTTGCCATTACATCCAAGTACCAATATGAAAGCTTTGGAAAGTCCTACCAAATGGGCCAGGGAAAGGAAGTAAAGTTCTGCATATAAATGCTTATATCGCTAAATATCTGCTTTTCAGTTTTTAATCAAGACAACCTCTGATTATTTTTTCTTCATATGCTCAGTTTGATATGATCAGATTTATTTTGTGGCAGGCTTACTTCAAAGCACAAGTATCATTTTCGTCTTCTCCCCACCAGATCAAAGAAAAAAAAAAGCATCCGAGTTGATCTTATTGACACTTACACAGAGCTAAGGACTTTTCCCTGCCCCCAAGAGACAGCAAATGGCCACTCAGGCCTCAGCAATTAGTCTTGGAGTCAGAGTCACATGCTTGGGTTAGAGTCACATGCTCCCCATATCCAGAAGTACTGGGTATTTCACTTTCTAGCCATTGGTGGTTTACTTTAAAGCTGCACTTCAGGCAGATATAGACTCACAATTTAATCCAGCCCTGTATTCAGCAAAAAAATCTATTATATTTATAATTTAATTAAAATAATTTCCCTTGATATTAGCTGCTTCTAATCCTCCATACAACAGCACTCAAAAAAACAAATGTTAGCACTGGAATTAATCAGTCTCTGATTTATATTATTATACTTTGCAGAGTGCTGTCAGTCATGCACAGTGAACATGCAGACAGAAGGGGAGATCATAGGGAACATATTAATGTGATTCTGCTCCCTTCATTGCCAAGTCACATATTGCAAGAAGCCCTAGCCAGGTTGTATTACTTAACCACTTGCCCTCCAGAGGATTTACCCCCCTTCCTGACCAGGCCATTTTTTGCGTTACGGTGCTGCGTTACTTTAACTGACAATTGCGCGGTCATGCAACGCTACACCCAAATGAAATTTACATCCTTTTTTCTCACTAATAGATCTTTCTTTTGGTGGTATTTGATTACCTGTGCATTTAAATTTTTTTGCGCTATAAAAAAAAGAAGACCGACAGCTTTGAGAAAAAAAAACTATATTTTTGGCGTTTTGCTATTAAACATGTCTAGTAAAAAATTTTTTTAAAAATCAAATTGCATCAGAAATTTAGGCCAAAGTGTATTTGCTACCTGTATTTGCTGAAAAAAATCCCAATACATGTAAATAAATTGGTTTACGTTAAAGTTATAATGTTTACAGATGGCGGTGTATATATACTGGGATTTTTTATTTTATTTTTACTAGTAATGGCAGCGATCAGTGACATATAGCGGGACTGTGGCGGGCATTCTGACACTGGGGGGAACTGACTGGGTGTCACTGACATCCCCAGTGACACCAATATAGTGATCAGTGCTAATAAAAAGCACTGACTCTGTACTAATGGCACTGGGCAGGAAGGGGTTAACATGTGGGACAATCAAAAGGTTAACTGTGTGCTGTTTTACTGTGTGCTGTGTGTGTGTGTGCTTCACTGTAAGCACACTGCTTTGCATGGCTCTGCTATCCAAAGCCATGCATAGCAGTGTGCAGCAGCTGACAGGGGATAGAACTGTATTGTTTACTTACAGTTCTCTCCCTCCGTTGGTAATGCTCCTTGATCACCGGGTGACGGTGAGTAATCAGCCCCTACCCGGAAATGCAACATCACGTATATATACGTGATTTTGCGCACCCGTGCCACCCTGTAGCAGTATATCTGCTATAGAGCGGCGGGAAAGCAGTTAAGAGGTCCAGTATCTAGCTGTGCTGTCTGGCATGGTTGCCTGAATCAGAAGAATGACTAACATAGGATTAAAAGTCTTTTGGTGGCTAACACTATTTGCATGTATGTATTTAAAATATGTGCCGGAAGTGAAGCTTTAATGTTAGGTAGTGTTAGCAGAAATCAGAATTGTACTGGTCCCACTGCATTAAAGTGATTCTAAAGGTTGTAATGGTTTTTTACAAAATAACAAACATGTTATACTTACCCGCTCTCTGCAATGGTTTTGCACAGAGGAGCTCCAATCCTCCTCTTTATCGGTCCCCCACTAGCAGTCCTGGCTCCTCCCCCCTGCTGAGTGCCCCCAATAGCAGGCCTCTTGCTATGGGGCACTCGAGCAGGTTCATACCCAAGCCGTGCATTTTTTAAAATTAGAATTACAAACATGGTATACTTACCTGCTCTGTGTAATGGTTTTGCACTGAGCAGCCAAGATTCTATTCTTTTGGGGGTCCCCCGCTGGTTCTCCAGGCTCCTCCTTTTCAGGGAGTGCCCCCATGGCAAGCCACTTTCCATGGGGGCACCTGTACGGGCTTGCTCCTGAGTCACCCTGTCTGCGTCTATTGACACAGAGCAGGCGGCTTGGCCCCTCCCCCTGCTTGCTTGTCACAGCATTTGATTGACAGCAACAGGAGCCAATAGCCAATGGCAATCAATCTGCTCAGGGAGGGAGATAGTGGCAAGAGCCTCTGCTCATGCACACATTGCTGGATTAAATTGAGCTCAGGTAAGAATAAGGGGGGCTGGGGGAGATCCCGCAGCACAGAGGGTTCTTTGCTTTAATGTATAGAATGCATTAAGGTGAAAAACCTTTAGCCTTTAGAACCACTTTCAATTCACCTGTTGATCTGGCCAGTAAGTCTCTAATTTTTAAACTTCCATTACCTGACCAGGCTGTCCAACAAAAGTAGCAGTTAGAGGGTTAAGCCAAACCATTTAACACTGACAGGGGCACTTACAATGATCAGCTTTTATTAATTTATGTAAAACCTTTATCCCAAAAGGAAAAAAATTTTGCTTCGTCAAGTCCATCTAAATCTGATAGTCTAATACTACTTTCTCCCCAGACTGACAATGCTGCTGTTCAGGTGTCCACGTTCCTTCTCCAGTAAAGTGGAGCCACCCTAACATAGAACATTTGTTACCTGACAGTTCTCCGGTGAAAATAAAGGACAAAAAACCTAAAATAGTAAAATGCAGACACCATTTTTAAGGATTGGTAAACTGCAATATATTACATTTTTTTTTGGGGTTTAATACCACTTTATGTTTATGTTGGGGTTTAATACCACTTTAGTGTATATTTGACTCTTAGTTTAAAGTTAGTGTGTCACATGTGAAGCAAGACCACAGTGCTGTAGTGCTGATTGAAAATGTTAAGACCATTTTTCTTTTTAGAATTCTGTTGCCTTTGCTGAGTAACCAACAGTGGAAAATCAACCACCTGGCAACTTTTTTTGTAATAAGCTGCATAGAAATGGGAGCTCTGGATGTGCAGATTCAAAAAGGGCGCCCCCATAGTGAAGCTAGTGTCTGTTGCACAAATTCACCAATCCCACACTCACTGGGAATTCCTTACTGTGTTTTGCTGTGTGTACCAGCACTCCTTTCTTGACAACTGATTTCAGCTGAATTGTTATGAAACAATTGCACTACCTTCATAGACCTCTAAGGTCACAATGCTCATATAATATGGTATTATGGCACAGTCTGATGTCTTTGTTTAATTGTTGAAAGGGATGGGCAAATATAACAAATGTTAAGTTTTCTGCTTCATATGGCTATTTTGCAGGTTGCTGCAAAATAAACTGTGCACAAAACTGCCCAAGGAAGTTCTCTCATGTGTAATGTATCCGTATGTTTGTGGATTTCCATGGATTACTGTGAGAATTTTGAGTCAAAACGAACCCTTCTTGTACAAGTGCAAAGTAAAACAAATGCGTGCTGATGCAGGCAAAGCTACTGTTGCAAAAGTAAAGATTTGGTTCCTGGGATTTAACTTCTAGGAGTAAAAGGTGTTTGTGCATTTCAGAGTACTCACTGAGGCATAAAGTCTCCCTCTTTTGTTCATAGCCAGGTATCTCCCAGAGAACAGTCCTTTGATGGCGACAATTCCCACATCCACGGCAGTTATTTCTAAAATACCTTGAAATAAGCAAAATATATGATTTAATCCTTTCTGCCCAAGCATGACCTCCTGCTAGTTCCCATGCATGCCATGGTTGCTTTTATTTGACTCTATCAGCTTGAAACATTTTGCACTATCTGTCCAGAAGCACACATTCACAGTTTGTGAAAAAATATTCATCACATGCTTATATTTCCTAGCCACATGTTTTAAAATCAGACATTACAATTTATTCAATGCTTTCACATATGTGCGTAGGGCCTTGCACATCTGTTCTGGATGGACCCTTATTCTGCCATCCGTGTAACCATTAGAGATAGATTTAAAAGCTTTTCTTAAGATGAGCTTCCCTTTAGGAAATAGTGGTTTTCCTTACTCCTCCCTGAGCCTTTGAGGTTTTTCTAATCTCTGTTTGCCATCAAAAGCAAGGGTATAGACATTTTAAAAGTATTTGGGGATTAGAAAGACAAATGCAATATTTTGCAGGGTATTAGTGGCACGCTTAGACCGACTGGCAAAGGAGTCAGTTTTAATCTGGAAGATCCCAAATGTTAGGATAATGCATTACAACAAACAGGTGGCACAGTTAATTTGTTTTATTGAGTATAAGAAGCTTTAGCCAATTCTGAACGTATTCAGTGCCATTTTGTACATTGTTGCAGGACCTCCTAGTGGGGGGATCACCTTGTTATTTGTTACAGGGGCCATCGTGTTGATACAGCTATTTAAAAAGCATGTCCAAATGTGGAGAATCGATTGATGTGGGCTATCAAGCCTGCCTGAGCTGAGCTTGATCTAGTTTCATGTAGCTGATCTGTAGCATCTAGATATTTCCTTACATCCCTTTTTTTCTAATATTGGCTCAGCTGTGCAGCATTTTGTAATATTATGAGAACTGCAATAACATATTTTACACTGTCTTTCAAGTTATTGTTTTTTTTTTCAGTTTACTGAAAATAAACTAAAGATAACGTGGTCATAAAGTAGGAAAAAATGGTTAACACAATACCTTAAAATGTAAAGTACACGTTTTATGTTATGATCCTTATATATTTCATCTCAGTAGTAGCACCTACATTTATCTCAAATACACGACTGTAATTAGGTCGTATTAATGCATATTTTGACAACTGGGGTGACTAGGAGTAGATGACTTTGGAATATTCTAAGAGAACAATTATAGTGTTTGACATGTTCATGAAGCAGTAGAATGTTCTTATTCTTGGGTGCACTTTTTAAAAGCTATCATAAGACTGCTTCATTATTAGGAATCACAGTTCAATGAACTGACTCATAGAGAGCAATTCTGCATTCTACCCACTTATGCTAATTGATTATGAAAGTAGGGGAGTCATCAAACAAGCAAACCTGAATATAATCCATTGACCTGCAGTAGGTTTGAAGGCTGTATACCCACCATGTGTTAAGTTAGTCACACCTGTGTATGCTATTATACCTTTATACAGCTATAGGAATAAAGTGATATGGATATCACTAAAGTTGCTGAACAGTTTGACAAGAAACTAATGAGAAAAGCGAGGCAAAAGCACATAATCCAACAAAAGTAAAACACGTTGGACTAAGCTATTGTTCATGTTGACTGGCTTTAAAAAAAAAAAAAAGAAAGAAAAATGCGGCTTAAATAAATGACATGTTCGGAGAACCAGCTGAGGGTTGAAGGTACATCCTTACCCTCCAGGTTAATTCATAGAAAGGCACAACGAGAGGGAGATAATGCTTTACCACCTCAAAGTCTCATCCTATTCACTCCAACATCTTAAAGAAGAAATGAGAGACAACATGAAAAGAAGATGCTAAATATCCTTTTATTAATAAAGGAAAGAAAAAATGTTTTCTTTCTTTGAAAGGGCTGTCTAAGACCGCAGACCCTCTGTAGAAGTCTGTTCAGATATAAATAATTAAAAAGCACAAAAAAAGAAAAAAACATGCAACCACAACCGAAGTGTGGTGCATAAAAATATTCCTGATTCTGAAGGTACAAAGTGATAGAAAATGAAATGCACAATAAAATGACAGCATCTCCTGACTAGTTATGAGGCTGTAAAACACTGCTTACCTAACATAGTTATGTTTATCTGTGAACCCTTGAATTAAAATAAATCCAAAACTAAAGATGCATTAAAAAACATTCAATACAATATAATTATATGTGGATATTATTATGTTAACACTCTCTTCATATGGAAATGAAAAACATTAATACCACAAACTTAGGTGCACTTACTAAAGATGCTGTTTTTCTCCAGCGTTCCATTTATTTTCCCATTTGGATGGATCTGAAGGTGATACTTAGTAGCACAATAAAGTTTTCGGTGTCGAGGTGCACCGCCGAGATGTTCGTATACCCCACCACGGCGGCCCCAGCATCTCTTCTTAGCCTGGGATCACACAGTTTTCCTCTGGCACAAGGCACTCTGGCAGTACTAGACAAAGCCTTCGCCCAGGATACCTGTCTACCAAGATCACAAATACTCAGCAGCAAAATCCAAATTATAACCATTGTGGCATGGCCGAAATACTGTTGGCTGGAAGGCTGGAAGCAAATGTCACAAGGGGTCCCATTAAAGAAGTCTTGTTAGCAGCTCTTTAAGTGGAAAGTCACAGTGTTCTGATGCATGGACACTAGTAGCATTATCTGACCTTCTATCTGTCTTGCCTTGATCCTTTAAATAAATAGGTGTCAACGGTGGTCACAGGTTCATTGATTATTTGCAGCACTCAGAGTGTAAGCATCTC